TCTTTCAATAAGGTCTAATATCTTTTTTACCGAGTCTTTGGGGTTTTCTATGTATAGGACCATATCGTCTGCAAATAGAGAGTTTTACTTCCTCTTTGCCAATTTGGATGCATTTAATTTCCCTATATTGCCGTACAGGTCTGGCTAAGACTTCCAAAACAATATTGAATAGGAGTAGTGACAAAGGGCATCCTTGTCTAGCTCCTATTCGCAGAGGGAAGGCTTTCAGTTTCTCGCCATTGAGAGTAATGTAGGCTGTTGTTTTTGTATATATGCTCTTAATTATGTTGCGGAATTTCCCTTCAATTCCTACTTTGTTGAATGTTTTTATCAGGAATGGATGCTGGATTTTGTTAAATGCCTTTTCTGCATCAATTGATACATGATCATGTGGTTCTTCTCTTTTTTCTTATTTATATGGTGGATCACACTGATTGTTTTTCTAATGTTGAACCATCCTTGCATCCCTGATATGAATCCTACTTGGTCATGATGTATTATTTTTTTGATGTGCTGCTAGATTCTGTTGACTAGGATTTTGTTGAGAATTTTTGCATCTATGTTCATGAGGAATATTCATCTATAATTTTCTTTCTTAGTAACATCCCTCTCACTGGTTTTGGTATGAGGGTAATGCTTGCTTCATAAAAAAGTATTAGGAAGTTTTCCATCCTCCTCTATATTCTGGAATAATGTGAGTAGAATTGGTGACAGCTCCTCCCTGAACGTTCAGTAGAACTCACTCATAAAACCATGTGGACCTGGACTTCTTTTGGTTGGGATTTTTTTGATGACCTGATCAATTTCTTCTTTTGTTATGGGTCTTTTCAAGTCTTCTGCTTTACTCTGTGTGAGTTTAGGTAGGTTGTGTTTTTCTCAAAATTTATCCATCTCTTCTAAGTTTTTGAATTTGTTGGAGTAAAACTCTTTATAGTATTCTGTTATTATCCTTTTGATTTCCTTTGGTTCCATTGTGACATCACCCATGTGGTTTCTAACGCAAGTTATTTGTATCTTCTCCCTTTTTTCTTTTGTTAGGTTTGCTGGTGGTTTGTCAATTTTATTAATCCTTTCAAAGAACCAGCTTCTTGTCCTGTTGATTCTTTCTATAGCTTTCTGTTTTCCATCTCATTGATTTCTGCTCTTATCTTTATTATTTCTTTTCTTTTGGAGGCTGTAGGTTCCCTCTGTTGATCTGTTTCTAATTGTTGGAGGTGCTGTGTTAATGTGTTAATTTTGGTTCTTTCTTCTTTTTGGATATGTGCATTTATTGCAATAAACTGTCCTCTCAGCACCGCTTTTGCCATGTCCCACAGATTTCGGTACGTTGTGTTTTCATTCTCATTTGTTTCCAGGAACTTTGTGAATTCACGTTTAATTTCTTCTATTATCCAGTCATTTCTCAGCAGGGCTCAGGTTCTCTCTTGATCCTGAATAAACCAGCTGTCGAGATACCTCCGACCAGTGACGACTCCATGGGTATCAGAGCAGAGCCATGCTTCAGGTGTTTCAAAGGGGAGGTTGGGTGGGTGGGGGTTAGGAAACAGATCACCAGGCCTTTCTTCCAAGGCACTTCTGGGTGGATTTGAACCACTAGCCTTTTGGTTAGCAGCCAAATGTGTTCACCATCTGCACTTGGGTCCCCAGAAAACCTTCATGTTCTTGGCATGATTTTCCTGCTGTTCTTGTTAGGGCCTTCACTTCTCTCCCACTTTATTCCTCCATTGACATCATCACTCCCTTACTTGTTTCCGGTCTCAGATGTTTCCTTTCTGGACCACCTGAGCCCCACAGCCCTATCCACCCTGACTCCCTGTGTTTCTCCCACATCACTCATGCCTGCCTGACACGAGAGCAGATTTATACAGCGCATAAGCTCCCTGAGGGCAGGGAACTGCTGAACTCCATACACTGAAAACAGTGCCCGGCACATACTAGGTGCTCAGCAAACAATGGTTATTAAACTAGAGGGTCGGTCTCCTCATCATAGAACTAAACACTGCTAATGTGCAGAACAAGAAACCATGATGGTACGGTGGGTGCCACGTTGGGCTGCTAACTGCAAAGGTGGTGGTTCAAACCCACCAGCTGCTCTGCAGGAGAAAGAGAGGAAGGCTGTCTGCTCCCATAAAGATGGGCAGTCTTGGAAACCCTAAGCAGCAGTTTTCCTCTGTCCTACAGGGCTGCTAAGAGTTGGAGTCGACTTGATGGTAATGGGTCGTCATAAACGTAGCGTGAGATGCCACAGAGCTGGCATGAAAATAAACGGGGTAACATATTATGAAGCCACCTGTAAGCTGCAGAGAACTTTACAAACCCAAAGGAAACCAATTTCTTATTGCCCACCACCCCGGTGCTCTGTGAAAACTTTAGAAATCTTTCTAAAAAGCCTCAGAGTAGGGATTGCTGTTCCCATTTTACAAGGTCTTAGCTCAAGATAGTTGTTGTTGGGCGCTACTGAATCCATGTAACAGAGTACAATTGCCTGTAGAATTTTCTAGGCTGTCAGGGAAAAGAGGACAACCCTCAACGAGATGGACTGACACAATGCAACAACAGACTGAAACATAGCACTGAGTCTGGAGGTTGATGCAGGGCCGGGCAGTGTTCTGTTCTGTTGTACGTAAGGTTGCTATGACTTAGAACTGACTCAACAGCACCTTAACAACAACAACGTTTACACGAGCTGATCACGGGGGTTTTTCCCCCATGGAGCTGTTGGATGGCTTAGAACTGCCAACCTTTTGGCTGAGTGAGTAACCATCTGAGCCACCAGTAATAAGGTCAGGATTCGAACGCAGGATTCCCACCATGCCCCACTGCCCACCGCGGTGGCCCTGCTGAGAAGATGGCCAGGGGATTTTCACTTCGGCCAGCACTTACACAACTTACTATGCATAAAGCAGACTGTGCACAAATGCAAAATTATGCTCATCTGCACAGAAACTGATGTCCGTTTTCATCTGACCACTGATGACCCCAAATCCCTGTGTCAGCCATTTCTACCCACCCTGGTCACGTGAAATCCAGACAGGAAGCTGGCTTTATGAATTGCGCTCTGCCCCACTTCAGGATGAGGAAGCACTGAGGGGGTTGGAGAGTGGGGCAGGGTAGAGTGGCCCGTCTCACCTTTAACACTACGGCTGTCTTCCCAGGAGGTCTCAGTGCCTCACCCCCACCACAGGTGAGGGGGACACACAGTCCAGAGCACAGGCCCCACCTCGGGACTCACTGTGTCCCTCGTGATGTACAATGACTGACCAGAGTCAAGGAGGAGACTTTGGGATTTTAGAGGTTATGGCGATTTATGCCACATTTTGTTTGCCGTGTGGCGTCAGAACTCCTCACCTGGAAAACTGCCTCAGCTTGGCTTCAATGCTTCTATGCCTCATGCACATCCTGGTCAGGGCTGATCCGATCTCCCGGGTGCCGCCTGAAAAAGCAAGAGAAGCAAGGCTGAGGGACGAGCCGCATTCACGGAGAATGGAGGCGCTCACCGTGCTGAAAAACCTCAGCCAGCAGCATTCAAACTCCCAACCATGCACTTAGGACAAAACAGGTATTTGTATTAGCACTCAAAATACGTGTCTAGCTGATACACTTACATTTAAACCCACACATAGATGTTTACCATTATACACACTTGTTGTTAAGTGCCCTCAAATTGGCTCTGATTCCTCGCAACCCTTTACATGGTTTCCAAGGCTGTCAATCTTTGCAGGAGCAGAAAGCCTCATCTTTCTCCCACAGAGTGGCTGGTGGACTCGAACCACTGACTCTGTAGTTCAAAGTCCAGTGATTATCCTACAGAGCCGCCATGCTCCCCACACATATACATATAAATACACATCTATATATGGTGATGAAACTCCTGGGGTGGCGCTGTGGGCCAGCACTGGACTGTGAACCACAAGACCTGCAGTTAAAATCTACCAGCTACTTCTCGGAAACCCTACACAGGTTCACTATGAGCAGGAACTGACTAGATGACACTAAACAATAACACATCAGGTGACAGGAGTCCTGATGGCTAAGCACTGGGCTGCTAACCACAAGGTCGGTAGTTCAAACCTACTAGGTGCTCCATGGGAGAACGAGGAAGGCGTCTACTCCCATAAAGACTGACAATTTCAGAAACCCTAAGGAAAAGCTCTACTCTGTTTTTCAGGATCATTATGAGTCAGAACTGGCTCAAGGGCATTGAATTTACATGGTGACTGTCACAGGAGTCCTGGTGGGTCAGCAGTTCAAACTCACCCGTCACTCCTCAGAAACCCTATACAGGGTCACTATGAGTCGGAACCGACTCAATGGGACTCAGCAGCAGCAGTAACAAGTATTCTAATGCTCCCTGATGGTCTACTGGTTAGGATTCCACTATTTGAAGTCCTTGTGTGGCGCTGTGGGTTAAAGTGTTGGAATGCAAAGTCAGCTTGAACTGCAAGGTCGGCGGTTCAAGCTCACCAGCTGCTCCTCGAAAACCCTATACAGCTCGCTATGGGTCAGAATCCGACTCTAAGGCACTTAACAACAACATATATCATTAGGAGAATTGGTGTGGTGCTACATGATAAGTACTGGACCGCAAGGTCAGTTTGAACCTCAAGGTCAGCAGTTCAAACTCACCAGGTGTTCCTCAGAAACCCTAGACAGGGTTGTTGTGGGTTAGGACAAACTCGGCAGCACTCAATTAATAACATATCACCAGAATTAAAATTACCTTACTACATGATATTGTTGTTAAGTGCTGTCGAGTTGGTTCCGACTCATAGCAACCCTGTGTAGGGGTTCCAAGGAGCAACTGGTGGATTTGAACTGTAAACCTTACAGTTAGCATTCCAGTGCTTAACCGTACAGCACCATACCAGGAGTCCTATAGTATGATACTCTGGTATTTCTGTTCTATTGGATTTTTAATAAATGTAGACTCTGGTCCAGATACGGATCTAAAAACCTACTAATAATGAGCCCTAAGTTTGATCAAAATAATATCTGATATTCAGAGAAAAGCTGTAGATATTTCTCCCTTCACTTCTGGCAATGTAATCCTCTTAACATGATTTAGAACAGCCAATTAGACCATGTTATCTAGTTATTTCAGTGATTCAAGTCCTAGACTACAAGTAATTCAGAGAACAGGAAAACAAAGGTAATGAAATAACCATGTATTTTTTTGATGAATTTGGGTAACACCAGTGAGTAAAGGTCCTGCTCAGCAAATGGTTGAAGTCAGCTGTACTATGTCTGACTCTCCCGGAATTCTTGTCATATTTTCCCCTGCAGCACACCCTTTGCTGAGATGATTCTAGAAGTCTCTCTTCCTTCCCCCTCTTGGAAACAATGCTTTAATCAGCATTCACTTGGGCGTGGAGGTTGGGGTGGGTACCGCACACTGTAACCCCAGATGGTAATTCTGCCCTGAATGCTGGGAGGTCAGGCACTATGATAAATGTTACGAAAACACAGGAGCTTGTGAAATCAGGGGGAAGTGTCCAATCAGAAGCATTATGTTTTAACAAGCAAGACCTTCTTGGGGAAGCCACAGGAGTCTGTGACAGGTCAAACCAAGTCATGTCAACAGAAAAAAACACCCTCGTTCTCAGCAATGGGACACTATCATGGGTCGTTATTTTCTTCTCTGTCCTCTTTCCAGAAATGCTGATTTGCCATTTCACTATGTTTGCATTGTATTCTGCAAAACTAACAGGTTTCCAGAACAATCACAGTAAGAAAAAACAACAGTGATATAGATCGTGTATCAGCCTCCCTGGTATCCCAGTGGGTTATGAGTTGGGCAGTTTAACCTCAAGGTTGGGAGTTCAGATCCACCAGCCGCTCTGTGGGAGAAAGATGAAGCTGTCTGCTACTATGAAGACTGGCAGTCTCAGAAAGTCTAAGAAGTTCTACTCTGTTCTGTACGGTCACTTTGAGTTAGAACTGACTGGATCAGCTGAATCATTAATTGCTTACACCATCCAGGCCCCCAGATTAAGTGTTTCCTTGGGGGCAAACTCAAGAGTCCTGGTCTGGCACTGTGGGCTAATGCATCAGACAGCAAAGTCGTTTGAACTGCAAGGTTGGTGGTTCAAGCTCACCAGCTGCTCCCTGTCCAACCCATAGCAACCTATACAGGGACGCTATGGGTTGAACAACTCAACAGCACTTAACAGGGAGCAAACTCACCCCCTATAGAGATCAGCTGCTCTAAGAGAACACGGGCAAGAACTAGATGGTACCTGAGGCTGACTTTCCAGAAGTCTCTTTAAAATACTGTCCTCTGGCTCCTAGCACCTGCACCCACTCTCTTAGGGACTGGGGAAACTGACCAGCTCAGCAGCTCCATATATGGTGGTTCACACTGCTCTACCAGCAGGTGGCGCTGTTTCCCCAAGAAGGACTAACTGCCTAGCCTCTCTCAGGGTTTTCTAAGCTTTTACTGCTTGTAAGCAAGGATGAAGAACACTTTATCCCCAGAGAAATATATCCTACTTTTTCTGGGCCTTTATTTGATTAAAAGTTAATAACCTGGCCACACAAGGAAACTGGCACACTCATTCACAGCTGGTGTAAGTGTAAACTGGCACTTCTGTTCAGTAAGAATGAATATTTGGTAGCATCTCTCAAGAAAATTTCCCCTCTGCTTTCAAAGCCTCGGTGATTGATGTAATGGTTAAAGCACTTGGCTGCTACAAGCAATGTCAGTTGTTTGAACCCACTTACCGCTCCACAGCAGAAAAATGTTATAGCTTGCTTCTTTACAGCTGTGCAGCCTTGGAAACCCTACGGGGGAGTTCTACTCTCTGCTACTCAGGGTTGGAATTGACTCAGTGGTAACGGGTTTCCAGAAAGTCTTAAAAACATCTACCCCCTGGACTAGGATAAGAACAAATTCTGACCTATGAAGAGTCAGTAAAATCTGGACACAAAATCTCTTAAGAGTGAACTAATTAAATAAATTGTTGAGTATGACCACACAATGGGCCAGCAGTCTGCACACAGGCATTTAAAATGCTGGAGAGTCATGTTGAAGGTTGTAGGAAGGTGAGGTACTGGTATAAATACCCTTCATATATTAGCAGATCCCTGGGAGGTACAGGTAAGTGCTCAACTACTAGCCAAAAGATTGGCAGTTTGAAACCATGCACAAGTACCTCAGAAGTCAGGTCTGGCAATCTACGTCCAAAAGACTCACAGCCTTGAAAACCCTGTGGAGAAGTTCAACTCTGCACACACAGGATCTCCATGAGTCCAAATCAAATTGGTAACTCACAACAACACATATTAACTCATGTGATCCTCACAGCACCCCCAGAGGCAGGTAATATTAGACTATTCCCATTCCCTTCCACTCCCTGGCTTTGAAAACAATTTTTTATTATGACTTAGGTGAAGGTTTACACAGCCAATCATGAGTTTTTCATTCACCAATTTCATACACATCACCTGGCCCTCGTTCTCCCTGTATTTCCTGTTTCTCAGGGCTTCCTTCGCTCCTAACTCCTCCAAACTCTCCTTGGGTAAATGCTGTGCTTCTGATCTCAAACAGCAGGTGATTCGGAGGTGTACCCCACTAGTGCTATTGTTCCTCTTACAGATGTGTCTATTGTTAGGGTGAAAACTGAGCCACAGCAGAGGAGTTTGATTACAGACAGGAAATGTGTATCAAGTAATTGTGCACAGGCTACACTAGCAAAGGCGCCCATGGTTCAGTGGCAGAATCCTTGCCTCACATTTGGAGGACCAGGGTTCAATTCTCAGTCAATGCACCACTGCCCACCTGACAGTGGAGGCTTGTGTGTTGCTAGGATACTGAAAAGGTTTCAGCAGAGCTTATAGACTAAGATACACTAGACAGAAAGGCATGGAGATTTACTTCTGAAACTTAAGACAATGAAAACCCTATGGATTTCAGTGGTCCAATCCACAACTCATCAGGAGACTGGTCAGCATGTCCTTTCATTGTGCATGGGGATGCCACGAGTTGAGGATGACTTAATGGTCATTAACAACACAGCGCTGGTAAGTGAGATCAAACCTAGGCTCTGTATCATGAACCAGTTTGCTATCCTCCTACAGAATCTATGCACAAAGGGAGATGAGAAGAGGCAGAGACCAGAACCTAGAACTCCATGCTGAAGCTCATTCATCTACACTCTGTGACTAGGGCTAAGTTACGTAATTTTGATTCTTAAGCTCAGAACTGTTAAGTGAGTATCTCAGGTACAGGTCCATCTTTGCTGAGCAGAGAACTAAGTGATGGAGAGTGGGCTCCAATGTCTTCGGATGTCTCAGTTTCTCCAAGATACAGTAAAAAGGTGCAAAATGATTCCATGAAGGGTCTGCTCCCAACCTCAATCCTGTGCTCTGCCACCCTCCCAGATGTTTCCCATAGATCCCCACAGACCGTTTGTAATCCCCGGAAAAGCCCAAGTC